GAGCAGTGTCCGTCCAGACCCCGGAAACAGGGCGAGAGGGGACAAAAGGGAGCGGATTGTCCTAAGGCTTTAGGCAGCATCAGATGGGAAGGCACCAGTCACCTCCTGACCCCATCCCCGCCACTCGGGCTGAGTCTGCAGTAGGTAGAGGGTCACGTGCAATGAAAGCGCAGTTTGGGACCCCCGGGGGGGGGCGGGTCACAGTTCTCTGGGATCACCGGGTCCCTCATCTGGAGGCTTCGGGGCTCCACCCTCCCTCCCAAGGGAGACAGTCTGCCAGCGTCCTCCATCCCCTGCCTCCTCCTGCATGTCTGTATCTCCATGTGGTGCGGATGCCTGCAGGGGGCTGGCCAAGATGCCCCTCTGATGCCCTCTGACTCCTTGTGCGGAACTTGCCCCCCCCCCAAGCTGTAACCAAGCTACACAGCAGGAGTCACTCCTCTCCTGTAGTTCATGTACTCAAGTCACCGGAAGTGGATTCAAGGGATGTGGAAAAACCTCCGCTGAGTCTTCTCCAGTTTCCCTATCAAAGTCCTAAGGGCAGAGTGGGACGAACAAGGACAGGGGAAGGGATGTGCGGGAGAATGAACAAAGGCTAGAGGTGAACCCAGGGGGAAGCATGTCTCATGTCTCCCGTTTCACCTTGAAAATGAACTTGAACTGTGAAGGTGTAAAGTACACAGTATGCTTACTGTTTCTCATGTTCTAGAAAGCTGTTTGCCTCTTCCCTGCCTGGGCTCACCTCCATGCCACCCTGGGGGTGGGTGGCGCCAAGCCTTAGAGGGCAGCTGGGCCCCTTGGCCACCCTCCTGCACTTGGAGACCCGCCTTAATACTCAGTGTCCTCTGTACTTAGTACGCTCCCTTTTCCCGTCTACCTTCAGGGTCCCTGAGGCCCCAGCTGCCACCCTCAAGACCAGGACAGAAGAGAAACTCAAGACAGAGAAGACTTGCAGCAGGTTTAAAACATTAAATTTTAGAAACATTTAAAAACGTGATTTACATTGTCTAGCACAGGGAACTATATTCAACATCTTGTAATAGCCTATAATGAAAAGAATGTGTAAAGGAATAAATGTAACTGAATCACTGTGCTGTTCACTAGAAATTAACACAACATTGTAAACTGACTCTACTTCAGTAAAAAAAAAAAGGTTTTAAAAATGCGATTTACATATTTGATAACACGTAAAAACATTAAAGCTCTGGCTGAACTAGCCAGTCCCGCTTCGGAAGCCCATTCTGTTAACACCTGTCACACTGGGTGTGACTGGAAAATGGGACCAGCGGTGGCCTGGACCACAGTGGGGTCAGGGAGATGGAGTCCAGCCACCAGTTTTAATGAGAACATTTCTGATTCTTATACTTCCCTCCAGGCTGGGAATTCTGGTTCAGTACTCAGTGGTTGGGTCTCTCTATATACAAGAGGGTTTGGGGCCCTGTTAGTCTCCAGGAAAACTTGTCAAACCCTTTACAGCAAATCAGATCCTTTACAGCAAATTTTCTGCCAATGACAATCTCACAGAAAAGATTCCAATCTTCAGCTATTGGCCCACTTTCTAAAGTCATCCATACAGCTAAAGCTCCACATAAAACATGAACCATCTCTTGGCATTTTCTGCCACCAGATGTGACTGTGGTGATTTGGCCGGGAAGGAAGCTAAGAGGTCCCAGCCGTCCAATTTTTCTCAAGGATTCCGGACATCTGTTTGTTGGGGCTGCCCACTCCAGGGGGCACCTCTCAGCCGAGGAGGGCTGGCCGGCGGGCTGTGTGCAGCTCAGGGGTCTGGGCTGCCCGGCACGCAATCGCGGGGGTCCAGCCCAGCACCTCACCACTCTCGGGAGCAAACACAGAGTTCTTGACTGGGCGACCCCAGACCCGTGGCTGCTCCCTGCAGAGTGAGCCTCAGGCTGACGGAGATAAAGTTTCCTTGGGCCCAAGTTCCAAACTCGGCTGTTTTGTTTCTGTTAAAATGCAATTGTTTTTCTCCGGAGTGTGTGGTGACTGCTCGGCGTCAGGAAGATGTATGAAAACCTCCACTTCAATTCAGCATCCCTTTTCTCCCAGACAAACACGGTCGGATTTTAATAAATCAAAGAGCCACACTGTTTAATAAAAATTTATTGACTTACAAGTGATTATTTATCAAAAGACCATTAATAGCAGGTACCGAAATGATGTGTTACTGGGTGGTGCTGGGAGACTAATAGGAAATCAATGCTGCTGGCCGGCCGGGATGCATATAAGAAGCCCAGCCCCCAAAAGCCAGCGCAATTTCACCCGCAAAATACACCAGACGCTACCCCTGGTGCAATGAAAAGTTCCCCCTTTTTATTTATCGTTTACAAATGAAATGATCAATACTTTTAATCTAGAGCAAAATTTATTAACTTTCCCCTCGGAGAGAGATGTATTGACTGGCGGGGAGAGGGGTGTGGGCGCGGTGGAAGATGGATGGCTGGATGGTCGTGTCTTCACCTGTCCGAGAGTCAGTGTGTACGCAGCCACCCTCCCAGGCAAGCGGCCCAGCCGCCCAGGGTGCATGGCAGGTGGACGGGACCGGCGACACTGTGGACTCTTGTCATCAGGGACTGCGAGGAAGCACCCTCCTGCAGACCATTGAGGTTTTGGTCAATTCCAGGAAGGAGACAGCAGGGGTCCCAGAAGACGTCTGCAGGGCAGCAGGGCTAGTGCCTGCTGTTGGTAAGATGCTACTGGGAAGGGCTGAGCTGGGATGGTACCCTGAGGGCTCTCAGCACTGCCGAGATCACGTCCTATGGGGCTCCCCGCATCAGGGGGATTTTAACAGCCTTTTCAAGAAGTTCCTTCTCCAACTAGCTCAGTAGAAAAAGAAATCTCACGTTTGAGTGGAAGAAATCTTTCCAAGATTCACAATCAAATGCACCCAGACCCTCCACCACCTCAAGCCCCGGAGACTCTCCTTTACACGTGAGACGCCCTCCAGAGGAGCCGAGTTTTACCAGCCCAGTGCTCTGCAGGGAGCAAATGGATTCAAACCAACTTAATTCTGGACCCAAGATGACTAGGTCTTAAAGCCAAAGTTTGAAACTGTGGGTTTAAACATTACAGGAAAGTCAGGCGTGGAAAGGGCTCCTCTAGCCCGAGTCCTCAGTCAAGGATCAGGAAACAGACACAGAGAAATACAGTCGAAACAGCAAACGAGAAGCAGGTTTGGTGGTGGGATTAGGCCCTGGCCAGTGCGCATCCCACGAGTTAATGCCACGTGGCTTTATTCCAGGACCGTCCTCACTGCTGCTGGGGCCCCAAGGGGACGTTTTGCACATTGCACCGCCTTACAAGTTGCTCTGTTGTTATTCCTAAGAGTCGCGAGGTTTTAACACCCAAGACCAACTCAGTTATCCCAAACCGATTACGAACAACTTGGGGACAGTAGTTGGAGAGGATGGAGCAGTCTGATGAGTCCGTGTGCTTGTAACAGGCACTTAATAAAAATTTTACAGGTTTCCTTTTATAAGGGTGTAATTCACATTCCTTCTCAGTTGGTGAGAGTAAAATAGTCACTGCTTAGTCTCCACATGGATTTCTTTACGTAGCAGTGATTTAAACCAGGTTCTTGCAATACTCTGTGTCATCAGCAACACGGATCTGCTGACGAGCGCGAGAAGACAAAAACCATTTAGAAGGACCTATGAGAACCATGAAATAAACAAACTGTCTGGCACAGAGCATTTTTTAAAAGGGTACTTTCAAAAAGGGAACTTGATCTTCAAGACCAGTTTTTAAAGATCATCTCAGATAGCTTTTAAACACTGTAAACATCACTGCCTATAAAAGGCTGAAAATCACTGTTTATTCCTGCGCATTTTGTAAAACAGTTCACAAGAGGCTGTTCTTATCGCCATGATAGTGTTTTCATTTAAGAGAAACAGAATCTCCGGTGGGTTGGCATGGGGCGGGTGGGAGAAGTGGGCAGCTATGCAGGGAGGTAAGGGAACAGGCGGGCAGTTGGGGTGAGCGACTACGGTCAGGGGAGGTACCACGCTGTTGGTTTGGGGGCCTCAGGAGCCAGGGTTCACTTCCATCACCCCGCAGATGGTGGCTTGGAGAGGTGACACTTCCCACAGCTGGTCCAAATCCTGACAGCTGTGGTGACCACCAAGAGGGAGCAGGAATGGGGCGAGGAGGGATGGACAGACAGGTAACTTGTGGGAGAGGCAGCTCTCTCTCCGAGGGGTCTGAAATAGGCAGAGCCTGGAAGTAGTCACCAGGGATGGAGCCTGGCTTTGGACCTGAGCTGGGCGGGTGCAGGCGGCCGGCAGCGCCCCTCTGGCTGTGTGGAGCCCTGGGTGCACAAACACCCACCTGCCGGGCCCGCCGCCCTCACACCCCTCCACTCTCACACCCCTCCACTCTCACACCCCTCTGCTCCTGCCCTTCCCCTGTCTCCTCGTTCCCCATCCTTACACCCAGACCACCCACTACCTTTACTCACACCCCTCCAATCCAGCAGCTCCCATCAGTGGCGAAATCCACAGCTCATCCTTACTGAAAATCCCAAATCAACCAGATATGCAGACATCCAACAGGAGCGGTGCCCTTTCTTCCCAACAAGACCAGTCCTCGATCCAGAAACCAAGTGGGCTCCCCACAGTCCTGCCAGCAAAGAACCTTAACTCTGATCCTAACGTGTGGCTCTGGAATGCCTCCAGGGCAGAGAGAGCGAAGGGAAAACCCCCTCGATTCAGTCACCATCGAAGACAATTTTATTTACTCACAAAAACAAATCCGAAGCCCCGCGAGTGGCTCCGAGCTCAGACCCCATCCCGCCGCCTCTCGGACCTGCACGTGTTCACACTGAGCTCGATGGCGTAGCACGTGAAGCCCCACAACAACCCTGTGAGGTAGGTGCCCCCCTCCCCTCCCGCCCGGGCACCGGGTCAGACCGCGGCCCCCCGCCCCGCCCCGCCCGGAGACCTTCACCCGGCCCGGAGCTCCGGCAGACGGCAGTTGTCTTTTTATCAAGGCCGGGGCCGCCATCCCCAGAGGTCCCCGCACGTGGGTTCAGTCACAGACGAGCATCCCCCGTCCTGGCGCGGGGACGGCCACCTGCCCAGCACTCAGGCGGCACGGGCACGGGGGAGAGGGGACTTTAATGGCATTCCTCCCACGGACACAGCGTAAAAGGAACAGGAAGGCATCTCGTCCTGGGCAGCGGCCACCAGCAGTGTTCCCCTCAGATGGCAGCTGGTGGGGCCCGGGCGCTCAGAGGGAGTTGAGTCCCGGGTCCAGGAAGGGGAGGCGCGGGCTCAGGACCGGCTCCTGTCCTCCTGGTTCCCGACGATCATCTTGCTGTACAGCTTCTGCTGCTCCTCCTTGAACGTGTCCTTCACCTTCTCCCGCTTCAGACCGCCGTCCCTGACGGGAGGAAGAGAGGGGCCTCACGTAAGGGCAGAGAAGCCTTCCTGTTGCCCCGCACCACGGGAGAAGCCGGCCCGAGACAAGGACTTAACTCTGCGGACCTCCGTCCCGTGAGCTCGGACATCCCCTGCCACCAGACAGCCCCTGCACCAGGCGTCCCGGGGACACCTGCTACGGCCTTTAAGATCCCCAGCAAAGGCCTCCTTTCGAGGGCAGCCGCTCTGTCTTCATTAGGCCTCACCGACACGGAACATGGGGCAGCATTTAACAGTCAGGCTCTAGAAGTCGGCGAGACCCGGGTTCAAGCTCTGGCTTGAGTTTCTATGAAAGACAGCTACTTAACCTCTGCAGGCTCCGGGCCTCATCTGAAGGATGGGAGTAACGATCTGCACACTCAAGGAGTTACTCTGAGGATGAAATGAGATTATCCCAAGAGCAACAGAGCACTGTGTCCGGCAGAGTACGTGCCCCGTACACGTAGCCTTTTTCAAAAGGTCCTAATCCAGGGCCAAAGTATTCCCGAAGAATCTGAGGGTCAGTTTAAACGACCAGTCGGTCGCCCCACAGAGCCGACCCCTGCACTTAAACCTGAGGGCCCTGGGAGGGTGGATTCGTTTCCTGACGCGGCGTTCATCCTATCAGCCTCCTGCTACCTGGAATGTAACTACCCCGCATCACACTCCAGGATAAAGGTCTGCAAACTCCGGCCCAGGGCCGAACCCGCCCGACACCTGCTTCTGGGAGCGCACAGACCTGCTCACGCCCACGGGTGTCACTGGTGCTTTCATGCCACAACGGCAGAGCTGAGTGACAACAGAGGAAGTCTGCTAAGTCCTGCTCTGGGAGGTAACAAGCTAAACACAAAAAATGAGACCAGCCTTTCTAAGGATGGCCCAATTCTGCCCAAGACCTGAGATCAGAGAAGTCAGTGATCCTACGAGGTGTCCAGGTCCCGTGCCGACAGGGACAGGGCTGTTGGGGTGCTCTGGTGGGCTGTCCCTGGGAAGGGACACAGAATCAGCTGCTTCGCCCAAGCATCCCAGGCACCTGAGAGTCCACCGCTGACTCTCCGGGGCTGGTGAGCTCTGCTCTCTGCACCAGGGAGAGCAGGACTCTTCGTAAATGGGGTCAACCATTCAGCACCTGCTTCAGAACTTCACATCCTGCTCGACTCAGGGATCAGACCCGGCTCTGACTCACCACAGCAGGTCCACGAGTCCTCCCTGCCTGGCGATGGCGGACTTCACCCTGTTTGCAAACTGGACGGCATCTTCCTCTCCCTGGAGGAAGGAACGGAGGACAACACTCAGCCCAGGCCCCGGTCTCCAAGGAGAAGGAAGACCCCCGTGTGGTGTGGGTACCGACCTCTCTGGTCATGGGAGGCAGGTACCACACGCTGCAGACGATGGCCCAGCTGGTCATCATTCTCAGCAGGTACGTCACCATCCCGTACTTGCTGCTATTCCAGAAGGCATCACCGAACTGAGGGTCATACTGCAAGACAACGGGAAGCTGGGCAGTAAGAAGTCAGTAGTTCTAGCCACGTGTGGGGGTCAACGGCAGCGTCTCTGAAAGTGCCACCAGGGGTGGGATCAGCCCCAGAACACTGCGCCCAGACCCCTACATGGACGCTGTCCGTCCCCGGGCGGTTCTGAGCTCCAATAACATGAACATCCCGGAATGACCAAGGTCCTGCTGCAGGTCGCTAGCGAGGACTAACAGCCTTCCTCAACGTCCTCCGTCTCTGATGAGTCACGCCTTACACACTCAGGGGTGTCTACAATCTAGCATTTATGTTTTCAGGCATATCTGCGAACAGAGGGGCGAGGATCACATACCCCACACATCCACGGCAAGATGCAATAATTACCAACACTTCCCCACATCTGCTGCATCAGCCCCCGGTCTCATAAACCACCTCCAATATCCCCCGCAAGCACTCATCAGTTCTTCTCCGTGTGCCGCCCCCAAACAGAGACATTTCCTTACCTAACTGCCAACTTTTTAATATCATTTCTGGTGCCAGGACCAAGGAGAAAACAAAGCTTTGCTTCTGGATCTGCACTTCTAATGAAGCTAAGTGTCTGAGTGAGGAGGAGGGTCTGCTCTGATGTAGGCGGCAGTGTGCTCAGCGCGTGGCCGCCCGCGACAGCTCAGGGGTCCACCACGAGGGGGCCGCGCCGCCCGCCAAGAGGCACTTTCATTCGCCAGCGACGCTAATGGAGCGAAGATTGTCCTTCAGCGGCATTTTGTAGGAGACGTGGCCGCAGCTGTGACTCTCATCCTCACCAAACAGGAGAGCAAGTGCAGGTAAGCCCGGTGGGGGAGGTGCTGGGGGAAGTTATGTAAGAAGTGACAGAGGGAACAGAGTCCAGGAGGCGAGAGCCTGGAAAGGGTCACGGCTGAACTGTTACTGAGGGGCTGCAGGGTTCTCACCCCAGACATCAGACTGACCGTGACCGCAAAGCAAAGACCAAGGACCAGAATGAAAACAGGAGGAGACAGAACTTCCAGAGCTAACCCCGGGGGCCGAGCTGCCGCCAGTGTAGAGAGCGCCCTTTCCCTGGGGACCCTGGGAAGGGACAGCGACCAAGATGCCAGAGCAGGGGTTCCGGTACCCGGGGCGGGGGGGGGGGCGCTTGGGTTTGAATAGTATTTTTTAGGCCTTTCAAGCTTAAATTTTCTGATTCTCAGAATAAAATTTAGACAATCATCCCTAATTGTAGACCTGACTCCAGAAATGAAGACATTTAGATTTATTTAATTACAGAAACGCAGAAGGAAATGAGGGAGAAGAACGAGTTTTAAACAGGAGCTGACGTGTGTGGTGAGGAGACAGTGCGGCTGTATTTTACAAAGCAGGACTGGACGGAAACTCTCATCTCATGTGTGAGAGGCCTTTGTTTGGGGCTGATTCTCGCCCCTGCTGGGCTGACACCATCAACAGAAAAACAAGGCAAAAGTTCAAAACAGCAATAAATTCCTCAAAATCAGAGAACGGCTTAATTTTGGTGGAAATGTGGTTAAGAACTCTAAAACTGCTAAGGTTATCCAAGTCTGGGTACCAACGAAGGCTTCACAAAAACTAGAAAAGTATCTGAGAAGCAGAAGTTCCTCCTCATACGTGAGCTTTACAAACCTGCAAGCGGGACAAAGCACGTAAGAGTCACAGGCCGTTTTGTGGGAGGAGTCACCAAGGGCCCGTGCTCTGAGCTGGCGGAGAGCAGGGCACTCAGCATGGTCCCCGACCAGGGCATCCAAGCATCGAGGGATGGGTCAAAAACGCAAGTTCAGAAACCCTGCGTGTGGGGCCCACGGTCCCGCTGGGGATGCTGACGCAGCTACAAAGAACCGACACTCTGGAGTGAGTGGTACGGGCTTCCAGGCAGCAGCTGGTTTTTGATAAACATGCAGGTGAAGCACTCAGCTCCTAGGACGTTACAATGCGGGCTGGCGGGCGTGCGGTGCAAACACCGCTCCCCACTCCCACACCCGCGGCTGACACTGCTACCAGGACGGGGTCTGTGGTCCCGACACATCACCTGGGCAGCCCCATTCCCTGCTCAGCCCCCGAGCAGCCGCCAGTCACTCGCCACCCCTGCCTGGAGCTCTGCCTGCCTGCTAAAAGCGGAGTGGCTGGGAGCGTCTGCTGGACCAGGAGGCCACCTCCTCCAGGACTGCGCCAGCGGCGCCGGCAAGGGGAAAATGCAGAAGGCTGTGCAGACAGAGACACTTGCCAAAGTCTGGAGCTGAAATGCTAAGCAGAACTCGGACTCAAACTGAATCCCTCTATCTCGATCTGAGATTTCCTCTCAACAGTCAGGACGCACCTGCAGACTGGCCCGAGGCGGACACGTGGCCCTGGCCCCGTACCCCCTGCTCCCGGCGTCCGGCCCACAGCAGCGACCACAGAGTCCGAAGACGTCTCATACCTTGATAGCAACAGGGTAAACCGTGGCTCCAATTTCAAAACTTCCCTTTTTGAACATCATCACCGACGTATTATTGATGCAGGTTCCTAAAATGTGGGAGAGAGTAAAATGCTACTTCTTTTGGTCCTTTACCCCAGAGATTGGGACTCTAAGGGTTAACTGTAATAATAAAAATTCTAATGGCTCTTCCAAGCAGAGAAATCTCTGCTCTCCCTAGCTCATGAATGAACATTTAAAAGAGAAAGAAAAATACCATATCACTCGTATGTGGAATCTTAAAAAAAAAAAGGACACTATGAACTCATCTACAAAACAAACTTGAAGACATAGTAAACAATCTTACGGTTACTGCAGAAAGGGGGTGGGAGGGGATAAATTTGGGAGTTTGAGATTTGCAAATATTGGCCACCATATATAAATATAGATTTAAAAAAAAAGTTTCTTCTGTATAGCACAGGGAACTATGTTCAATATCTTATAATAGCATTTAATGGAAAAAATACAAAAATGAATATATGTTATGTATACACATGACTGGGACATTGTGTAATACACCAGAAACTGGCACATTGTAACTGACTATATTTCAATTAAAAAAAAAAGAAGAGAGAGAGATGCCTCCCCTTCTCTTCTCCCAGGGCCGCTTTCCCTGGGTAACACACCAGCCCCAGGGAAAGGCCAGAGACACACAGACAGAGGAGGTCACGGGAAGGACCCACAGGGAGCTGAGGGAGCCCATGGGCGATACTACGGGGGGGCTCATGCATTGGGGAAGGTCACACTACAGCACTCTTGCTCCCAATTCTGAGTCTTGAGTTCCAAAGGACCTCACGTCATTCAGTGAAAACAGAAACCCCAATAAAGGGCGAGGGCCTGGGTTCCCACACGACACTGGGGTCACCCCTCCCGCATGGCCCCCGCACAGAGACTCACCCTCCGGGAAGATGAGGATGGGCAGCTTGCTTTTATCCTGCACGTGCTCAGTCAGCCTTCAGGAGAGAAAACAGAATGAGGGGTCAGACAGCCTCACGGCCGTCACCATCAAAATCCATCTACAGTTACCTATCAAGATGGGAGGCTGGGTGTCGTGTTGTACAAAAGCAGGTTAACAGACATGACCCTGTCCTCCGTAGAACCACAGTCTAAATCTCATGAAGACAGAACTTACCAGGACAGGGAACCCCAGATGACTATTTCAAACAGAGGGTCTGTGCATAGGCCATGGCTCAGAAGTGGGACCACGTAAAGGATGTGCCCACCACGGGCCTGGCAGAGAGCAGCCTCGATGGACGGTGGCCACGGACCTCCCAGAGGCGCGCCAGGCCCAGAGTCCCCCTGGGACGCGGCAAAGGGACTTCAGTGGTGGGCAGAAGCTAGGCTTTGGGGATTGCTCTCAATTTATGGCAAAGCTCTGGCCATTACCTGCACCGGGGTACCTTTTTTTTTCAATCCAAGCCTGAAAACCGAGCAGCACTTTCTTCTATTGCCTTAAGTGTACTTTCATTCTTGATAATGAATTCGTTTTGCAACTTTAAATAGCACTAGAAGTTCATATGTATATATATGTACAAGAAAAAAGTTCTTATGTTGTTCATTACAATGGGTACAAGGAATAAAAAAGATTAAAAACGTTACTAATTTGGTAAGTAACGCTACGTTTCAATACTTTTTCTATTCCGTGTTTTAGAAAAAAATTCTTATTACGAAAGCAGTGTGGGCTCAGCAGAGATGACGTGGGGGCACAGCATCCCCTTCACAGTGGTCCAGACCCTGTAACCGGCCCAGAGCAGCAGCACCTGCTGTTTACCTCTTGGCCACCAGGTGGCGATCCTTCACCTCCGAGCGCTCGAACCAGACATGCGGGCAGGCCTTCACCATGGCTCTCTGAATCACGCCCATGAGCCCCCCGTGCACCTGTCCCACCTGGTCCGGACAAAGGAGGAAGGGGAGTGATGTCATCCTCACACAGAGCCCCCCGGTCCCACGAGACAATACCCACCTCTCAGCCCCTAGTATTTTACTGGCAACCATAGGTTTCTCTCTATTCAGAAACCACTCTTAGACTCTGAATTTAAATTCTCCTAATTAGTGAGACCAGAGATGTGGCATTGAAGATACAGTTGAAAACTCTAAGAGGGAACACTGCAGCAGAGTCCACCTGGGTCAGAATGCCCTCCCCCGGGGGACTCAGCAGTGGCCCCGAGCCCAGTCCCCACCTCCACCCCTCCTCACCGTCCGCCTGGACCTCCCCCAAACTCCATCACCCTGCTTAGAATATCTGTCCCAAACAAACGAAGGCACAATCTGGGTGGGGGCCTGTGCTTACCTGTCTACACCCTCAGAAAGAGCTCCCAGCCCTGACCAGCCTCAAGGAAGAAGTCCCGCCCGGAGATGACAGAGGGGCCTTACCATGGCGTAATAACCATCACTGGCCAAAATGATGACGTCGATGGGCGACGTGTGATTGGCCACGCAGATGCCGCCGTTTCTGGGCCTGTTCTTCCTGCGTTAAAAGTGCGTGCGAGGCAACAACCATCAGTGTGAATCGGCTCATCAGGAACCCACGCCTGGCTCAGCGGCTTCCCAGCTCCCACGGGATGGACGCTGCGAGAGCCCGCTGGCCGGCTGCCGTGTTCTGCCAGCGCCATCCCCTCCGGCCCAGGCCGAGCCCCTCACCTGTCGTGGTAGGTGATGATGGCCGTCAGCGCTCGCACGCAGATCCGGTAGCACATTAAGTGAACGTGTTTACTCAGGAACTCCTTAAGCCTGCGACAGCGGGACAAAGATTCCGGGTTTTAGTTTACGCACACACAGAAGGACAGGAAAAAATGCTGACGCCGACCATCTGACCATCACCGCCGACAGTCCTTTATGACTGCAAAGTATTTTCACACGTATCGGTGTAGGTGGTAAAACTCTGCACTGGCATCGTGACGTCTCTATATAGAGGAAGGGACGATGACAACCGTGTGACTTCACCCAAGGTAATGGGGACAGAACTCGCAGCCCTAGAACTTTCAGCACAGGTTAAGCCTCTCAGATTCCTTTCCTTCTCACTTGTCGACACCAAGATGCAGTACAAGGGCCAGAGAGTCAAACCTCCCCACCAGCCCGGCCAGGAGAGAGGTCGACCGGCCCCAGAACTTCCCAGGAGTAAATTTCACTTAAAAATGCAAACAAACAAAAAAGCCCTGCCTACATTTTTCCTCTCACCAATTCAGCAGGGTAGAACGCTCAAGTTAAACACTGGGCTGGAAAACCTGCTAGCCCTGGACGCTGCAGTCTTGTGGTTTCCCCATTTTGTCTTTAAAATGGGAAGAGCGTGAGGGCTGGAGAGCACGCAGAACACAGAGAGACCACGATCGGCAAAAATAAATGCAGCTTAAATGCTGATGCATTGGTATCGCTGGTTATTATCTCCATCTGAGATGCCAGGTCTGGGCTGTGCCCAAAGGAGGGGCCTGGCCTTCAAGATCGGAGCCTCCCGCCAACACCCTTCCCCGCCCCCGCCGACTGGGCCCCCGCGCTCTGCTCACCTCCCGTTGGGCAGGTATCCCACCATGGTCGTGCCCACCACCAGGAGGCTAATCCCCGTGAAAGCAAGAGCTATCCTGTAATGAGAAGACAAAGTTAAAACGCAGCAGACTAATCCCTGCACCAAGCACGGTGCTGACCGTGTGAAAATGACAGTGGGCGTCTCGGAAACCGGCCCCAGCGGCCCCACCGGGACCCAGACAGGAGGTCCGTGGAGAAATGGGAGCAGGCCTGTCAGAACCAGGGATCATTCTGCTTCCAAAATGACAGGACACCACGGCTTTGCCCCCAGGCACTAGGCAGCCAGATGACGGGAAGTCCTCACGCTGGCTGCGCCGCCCTCAGACACCTGCCGCCCTGCCTTCTCGCCCTCCCCCTGGCTTCACAGCCTGGCCGGGCCCAGCCGCTCTGGGAACTAAGAGGAAACAGAGCCTAGAGGTACTGGCATCTGGCAAGATGCACTCAGAAGAGCACAGGGCCCAGAAAAGCTGGGAGATCAATGCGCCTCTGTGCTGGAGAGGAAGCTGCAGACAGCGCCAGCCATGCCCGGAACGGGTGGCCAGCAAGGACACCGTGTTCCTGTCCCTGTGCTTAGTCCATCCAGACAAGCGATCTGCCTTTAAGAAACCCAACTATTTCTGTCTGATACTCAGAGAATCCAAAGGCCTTTGGAGGACAATCCCCAGTGTCCCCTTCCCAGGGTCAGACGCCTGGCCAGGGAAAGAGCGGCACCCTCCTCCTTCCTCGCGTGGGAAAACAGGGCAGAGAGGCGGGGGAGAGGTGTCATTCATCAGCCTGGGCGGCAGACGCTCGGTCTTCGGTCCCCGACAGGCCCTGCCCTCACCTGAGCGGCAGGAGGAAGCAGTACCGAATCAGCACTCCCAAGCCCCACAGGACGGTGAGCCGAAGGCTGATGTACTGGAAGTTGTAGTTGGTTCTGCTCAGCAAGTTCCAGGACTCCAACTCCTCCGCTGAGAATCTCTTGGTCACCTCGTCGTCCATAATGGTCTCCATCCCTTTGCGGCAGAAGTAGAAGATGTCGGAGAGCTCGAAGTCCGGGGTGTTGTCCAGGGCCTTGCTGCTGCCGCTGCGGCGAATCTCTTTGATCTCTTCTTCGAGGGAAGTGGGATCTTTGGCGATGATTCCTGCAAGAGAACAGCCCCGTCGAGCGGCACGCGTGTGACAGATGCTCAGAGACCTACCTTTCCTCTGGTGGTGAGCAGGGGTGGAAGGAAAAGCAGGCAGGAGGGAATGGATTTCGAAGGGACGTTTGCGGGCAGGGCTGGGGCCCGGCCTTACCATTGGTGTAGGGCTTGTAAAGCTGGTGGTTCTTCTCCTTGGCTCCTCTCTCCATCCGCAAGGTCGCCCACTGGGGGAAGAGCAACACACCAGGGTGAGGGCGGACTGGCCCGGGGCGCCTCCGCGTCCACTCCAGGGCAGCCTCAAGCCCAGGCACCTGCCATTGGACAGCACCCAGGAGAGCAGCCCCTTCCCCTAGAGCAGACCCGACCTCGACAACTTGGACCAAAAGCTGAGTCACCTACGGTAAAGAGCTGGCAACCAAGGAGCTTGGCTATTTCTCGGGCCTAGCGTGTCATGGCCTAAATCTCTCGGCCTCCTGGTTCTTAAGGAACTCACCAGCGAACAGTCCAGGGACGTCGTTCGTTCCTGCCCTCCTACCAAACAGCAGCTAAGTCACCAACAGCAAAATCAAGCATCCTTTAAGCTACCTCCTGATGCCGCCACCTCCCAAACTATTCCAAGAAAGCAACAATTTGAGTTTTCAAGTAAAGGATTTAAATAATACACGTGTCTGGACTGTCCATCCACCGTCTGAGTCACCTTTTACCAGGAGATCCACAACCTGACACAAGAAACCCTGAGAATAGCTAAGTGTTAAAAAAAAAAAGCATTTAAAAAACCGTTTTGGAGATGAAACAAAAGTAGGTTCAAATCTCAAATCTGACAAGCTATGTCCCTTAAACAACTCATTCCAACACTCTGAACGTTGCTCGTTTCCATCTATAAAATGGGATGGATGGTATTCAACCTCCTACCTCACCGGGATCAAATGAGACCATGTATGGAATAGCGCTTGGGAGACTCCAAACACCCTAACTGTCCTCATTACCACGGAAATCATACGGAGTTGGAAGAGGGGTTCTTCCCGGAGCATCCGGTCCCTCATTAACATCCTTTTAACTGTATTAACAGCCTCAGAGGCTGGGTCTCTCCCAGGACCAAATAACGGGAGGGGATGACACAGGCTCACCCCGGCCCCGAACAGAAGTTATGACCACAGTAGTTGAGGAAATAGAATGGATGTTTGAAAAGGTGTCTTTTCAAACTTCAGCCGCGAGTCACGCAAGGTGGAGAAGAGCCTACCATCCCAGGATGCGGCGAAACCCACAGGGCCCAAGGCAAGTGCTGAGGCTCCGCCGGCAGGGTGCGAACTGTCAGCCAGGTGCCCCCAGCTTAATCGGTGCTCTGATCTCATCTGGAAATGCCTTCAAAGTCCACTGTCTCGGGGACACAGATGGCTCACAGCGTCACCCACTCAGAGCAAGGTCTCGGGCAGGAGAATGCACATAACCCACTTCAGATGTCTAGGCTTTGATGTCTCTGGCATGGAGGGTGGTTTTCTCTAGAAGAAAACGTAGGCATAACTCTGGCAGTGGAAGAAGGCGAATTCCACCTGGGAATTGCACCCTGGGACGAGAAGAGGAGGGGACAAGAGAGCGGACAGCGTGCCTGGCACACGGACACAGGTCCCTCACTTGGAACTGAGGTTTTTCTATTCGACCAAGACTCTGCATTGGTGCTGCAGGCGCGGTCAGAACCAGCACAGCGGGGCTCCCTGCTGGCAGTTCCGATACAGGGCTTGGGCTGTGATGGGCAGGGACGACCTGCCACCTACGACTGTGATTCTGCCTCATGATGGAAAATTCAAGGCCGTGGTTTTCTGTTTTAATTGGAAAGGTACTGGTCAGTGAGAGTCCCCGGGCCCTCCACCAAAGCTCTGTCACACACATCCACCCGCCCGCCTGCTCTGTACTTCCAGCTTGACTCTGTCACACTTCAGGTACATCACAAAATGCGTCTGTTTAGGAAAACGCTGTCCAAAGTCACCAGAGCAGGGGAGAGGGCGGGGCTGGGAAGGGGCTGCCAGGGCCGGGGCCTCCCGGGAGGGGCGCTGGAGTTAGCGATGCCCGGTGACCGATGGCTTCAAGAAGTATCGTGTTCGTTTCTTATGGGTGAGTTTTATTCCATCACATATATACGCTGCATCTCCTTTATCCATTCATCTACTGATGTGCACTTAGGATGCTTCCATATCTTGGCAATTATAAATAATGTTGCTGTTAATAGTGGGCGTGTATGTATCTTTTCGAATTAATTCTTATTTTGTGGCTGGCTTTATTCCAATAACTATCTAAGTTTAAAAAGCTAAAGCTCTAAATGTCCTTAGAAACAATGAATAGTACATAGATGTAAATTTTTAAAAATATGTGAGTATATTGTATATATGTATTTACATACAATATATTGGATATGTGCACTCAAATTGTGACAATTTTACCTAATAAAACCGAAAAAAAAAATGATCGTGTTTGGATATCCCGGGGAAAAGTGAGACTCCCAGGTTCTGGGCTCATTTTCCCACAAGCCACCTCTCCTCTTGATCTGAGATGCCGTTTACCACGCTCTTAGTATCAGTTACTTAATTATTCCCTTTGCAGGTTCTCGGGGACAGAGACTCTCCCACACAGAGACTGTTAGGGGCACAGAGGATGCTGCACTCTTGGGTAACAGGATACTCGACACAGCCCTTGGCAGGGGAAGCGCAGGCCCAGCCCTTAGATGTGCGGGTGGGGCGACGGCACATCCCTGCTGGTGATCCATTCTTCTGTCCCTGAAGGTCAGGAATGAATCACACACTGCCGCCCACGGTGAGAACACACACAGCCCCCAAGCCCTGAGCGCGCCCCTCCTTCCCGCCCTCCTCCTGTGTCCTGGGATCACTGCCCCCTGGTCCCTCAAGCTTCCTGTCCCCCAAGTCCTCTTGAGCCACCTGGCCACAGATCTCTGCCACGGCCGCCTCTGGGCCACACCACGACCTCCGTGCACTCCCCTGCTCAAAACCCCTCAAAGGCTTCTCAATTCCTAAAGACACAACAGGTTTTATAACCTACCTCATTCCCTCCGTGCACCCAAAGGCTTACTCCTGGGAACCAGGTACAGTCTCTAAACAAGACTGCACTTTCTCACCTTTATCTACTGTGCTTCTAGAATGCTTTTTCTTTTTTTAAGATCCAGTTCAAATGCCAAATCTTTCGTGAAATGTTGCCCATCCAGGTCCTGCAGTCACACATAATCTTTGCCTGTGTACCTTAATTGACATCATGTTCTGAATTAGTTAACTTATGTACATATCTGTCTTTCCTTCTAAACTGTGACTACCCGGAGGGGCCGAGGCCAGAACCTACTGGACCTACATTCCAGCAGAATCTGAGAGTGTGCCCCGCTCCAAACAGGCAGTCAGGAAGGGCTGCATTCAATCAGTCAGCTCCCAGTATTTCTCTTCATCAAGGTCTCATATGAAAAGATGGGCCTCGAGTGACCACCTCAAGCTGCCTCCTAGCACCCTTTCCGCCACAACCACATGCTCACCTCCTTGAGCTGGTGCTTTAAGCCCCTCACGGTCATGGGACAATCACCCTTCCTGCTGGGGAGGGAGGGCTACTTGAGAGCGTGACCGCTCTGTCCGCACCCACGTGAAGGCGGCATCGCTACTCCCACGCTCTAGAGAGGGAGGCAGACTGGGACGGTCTGAGGACTTAGGTCAAGTTTCAGAGGTGGTAAGAAAGGTCTAACCCACCACAATCCCACTGCCTGTCCAGTCTCTTCAACTTGCTCACCACCATCGCTGGTTCCCGCCAGTTCCACTGTGGCATTTAATATCACAGTCAATGACAACTGTCCTGTCTTCTCTAACCGGACCTGATCAACCCCTTCCGCAGCAGGCAAGGAAACTCAGGTCGTTTTTTTTTTCATCTTTCTCCTTTAATATCCAGGCTTTCTTCTCTCCTCTTCCAAATCATTTTCAACTGTTGAAAGTCTACTTCTAGGAACTCTAGAACCTTAATAATCATCAACACTGTACTGAGGGTAAATCCGAAGCACTAAAATACTTGAAATAACATGCTGCCCTCTGCCGCGATTCGGCATTTAACTAGGATCTGCACTGAGTTTCTTCCAGGAGAAGACACGACCCACCCACACTCTCTACCCCCTCTGGCAGGTTTACCAAGGTTCCTTTATACAGAAGGGTGAGCTGATCGTGGGACTCAGTCATCCAAAAGCACCGGTATTATGTACTGCATGGATGATCAGACAGATTTAATCATCTTTATGAAGATTATCTAGTAAAATGTAAAAACGACTGGTAAGACCTCAAAAGGAAATGTAGACACACACACAAAAAAAATATATATATATGTACTATTCAACACAACTACAAAATATGAATGCATAATGCGAAGTCTGAAAGGTAATACATACAAAAAAATTTTAAGGTGCTGTAAGCTGTGAGACATGAATGAATGTTTAAAATTCTTTCACATCATATTATTTGTCTGGTAATCTATTGCTGTGTAACAAAGCACCCCATAACTCAGCGGCTTAGAATACCACTACCATTTATTTTGCTCATGAATCTGCAGATTGCACGAGGTCTGGCATCAGCTGGATGGTCAACGGCAGGGGCTGGACTCCTCCTGAATGCCTGCTCACTCCAAGTGCAGCAGTTGACGCTAGCTGTCACAGCCCGCTGTGACCGTGAGCTGGGACACGTGGCGGCCGGTTCCAGGACCAAGTATCCAGGGTCAGAGAGAAGATTTATTGCTGTTTTTACCTAACCTCGCATGTCACCCAGCGTCACGTGCATCACATCCTGTTTGTCAGAGATGAGTCACTAAGGCAGGTCCCCATTCCTGCGACGGTCAATCAGACTCCACCTTCTGATGGTAGATGTTAGAACCACTTGGGGAGCTTTCTAAAAATGCCCACCCAAACCACTTAAATCGGAATTTGTGGGGAGATTCTAGTGCTCCCAGGTAAGTTCTTTTAAAATGCTCCCCAGAACGATTCAGATATGTAGTTAGAAGGAGACCCAGGGAATTCCAACAATCTCTGAGCTTCCTTCCAACTGCAAAATTACATACAGCACCCCAATTCAGGAAGGGATGAAGAGGATCAAGATGCAAAATAAAAGTCTCTTCTTTATTAAAAAAAAAACAACCCACAAGTTCAGGTGTATTTTAGATGTATACACGGATACACAGATGTAAACTTCGCAAGATCTAAAACCAGTCTGGCCTAAGCCTGTCCTGATGCATGAGATGGTTATGTAAATAGGTACTCTGGGCCGCCTGGTTGCATGATTGAATAAATATAATGCAAATCCTCCTTTAAAAAAAAAACAGTTTGACCAAATCTAACTTGAATCTAATACTACGCTAATAAAACTAGCATTCAGTTCTTAACGTCCATCCAGATCAACTGAGAGCAAAAGCCCTTCCCAGAGGGTGAGAAAGGACCAGACACTCCTGCAGAACCACCCTGGGCCCTGTGCTGGGGTACACCAGTGCTCTCCAGCCCACCTCCTTATTCCAGCTTATAGCCAAGATGTAATTATCCAGGAAGCTCCACAGGACAGGAGCCACAGGACACCCAAGGCCCTGGGTGCCTCACACACACCTTTAGGTAACAAAAGGTGCAAATCTAGTTCTTAAAATTTGAAACCTTGAGATCACAAATGGGTGTACACACACACACATACACACACACACACCCCTTCCATTACCACTTCTAAATCACTGGGCCCCAAACCAGTGATCTTCAAGATACGGTCAGCGGAGTATCTGATGGCTCAGGATTACCTGTCCCGTGAATGAGCCCAACAAGACGTATTCAATGAATTTCCCATGTATCATTATAATCTACGTTAAAAGTCACAAGAATGTACATTTGAAAATACAGTCATGAAGATTTAATAGACTATGCATGTGATTAATTGGGAGGACATTTTCAAAATGGAGTAGGCAATACACGTGGATTCCAGGCCTTCTGTTCCACCCAAAGTGACTTAAATTTTTAAAATTTAGCTACTACAGAAGAACTCTGATCTGATATGTTTTTAAAATAAGGCTTTCTGGGAGGATATGGCCAAGTGGCAGAGCGCGTGCTTAGCAGGCATGAGGCCCAAGGTTCAATCCCCAGTACCTTCATTTAAAAATAAATAAATAAATAAAAACAAGGCTTTCCATAGGTCTCCGAATTAGTCACTTGCTTACAGACTTGAACGGCAGCTAGCCAGCACTCATTGTTGCCTCCTGGAAGTTTACCGGCTCTTCCAGGGACTCTAGACTGGTGTACGTTTTCCAGTGGCAAAAAGGCACAGTAGTTCCATGGTTACAGGAATCCTGGATTCTACTGAAGATTTTCTTGGACTGAGATTTCAGGAAATTACATTTCCTGATTAATTGAAATGAACACTATGCGTTAGTGAAGGAGCCAGTCTGAAGACTGACTAGATTACCACTCCTCACACTTGAATGTGCTCCTGGATCTTGCTGGCATGCGGACCCGAATTCAGCACTCTGGAGTGGGCCCGAGACCTCCACTTCTAAGCAGTCTTAGGTGACACACACTGAGTGTGTCATTGTCACCGAGCACTGAGTAGCAAGACAACCCCAGAGACCGTAAGTCGTGCTCAGAAACCTTGTTACTGAACACAGGTTCTCCAACAAGTGCAAGGACACCACAGGGGCGTCAAGGACAGCGGCCTGAGGGTGAAACACCCCACTCATGTCCACCGACGGGTGGACAGATCAGCAAATGATGGAAAAGACACGCAGCGGAATATCACTCAGCCAAAAAAAAAAAAAACCCAAAATGTTGAAACATGTGACCAAGTTAGGCTAAATGGAAGGAGACAGTCACAAAAGAGCACATTTTATATAATTCCACTAATATGAAATATCCAGAAAAGATAAATCTAGAGACAGAACACAGACTTGTGGTTGCCAGGGGGCGAGGGAGGGAAAGGAGCCAGGAGGGGTACTGCTTAATGAGTATGGGGTCACCTTTGAGAGGACCAAACGTGCTGTGGAACTACAGGGAGACGGGTGGTTGTACACTGTGAATACAGGAAATGCCACTGAATTCTTCCCTTGAAAATGGTTAATTTTATGTTATGCTATGTAATTTCACCTGGATTTTTTAGATACAAAAGATCATATTCTTATACGAATACTAAACACCAAAACTCAAAGCTCATTAATATACATAAAAAATATTTCCCACTGTAACGCAGCACTTCATATAGCTCACTTCACGTCTGAGTCACTACTTCTTCATTGATAAGATATGGATATCCTTTCTGTCCAAGGCAGAACTATCAGGAACCAACGGCAAATGAAAGAAATTATTCTGAACCATAAGACACTATAGGAACAAATAAAACTGTATCATTTTTACTATTAAGAGTGCATTTCTCAAATTATACATGGTCTCAGCTCAGATCACCAGAAAGTAATCCGGTGACTACTGAAAACAGATATTGCTAATAAATTATCAAATCTCTAAGCAGATATTAAAAGGCTTGTGGCCCAGATCAACTTCCAGGAAATATCCCTTCTCACCCATTTCCTTAACACTGTGACCAGTTCTGCTCAGCGATCTAATTCCTTCCTTAAGTTCTGACATATGTTAAGAAATATATTCTTCCTCTCCTCCATCCTTAAGAAAATAAAACCATTCATCAAATGCCCTTTTCTGTTCATCCTTTCTGTCTGCAGTGAAAGAACCTGCTTAGGATAAACACGTCTGAAAGAGAGAAAAGACTCTCCCTACTGACCAGCGACGGACTCTGTGACGCGGCAGCTCTGAGCTGACATAAGAAGAGGGGCGTCTGGCAGTGACTTTCTCTTTAATTCTAAGACCCTCCCTTTGAAATTAACAGGCAAGATGTGGAGTCACAGAACAGGTTCCTTTGCTCAGACAAACTGAACAAATACTTCGGCTCAAAAAGACTGCTAAAGGCTCTCACAAGCACATGTTTAGTTACTCTTTTGACGCAAAGTGCCACTTCCCATCTCCTTTCTCCCCCACCCCCCGACAGAGAGGTGACAATCACCCAGACAGGAACAACTCCTGCTGCTGACTGCACTTCTCCCCTCCTCCATGAAGCCACCATTTGTAAACCGCATACTCACCGCGAAGATCTTTAACAGGGTTTTCATGTAGAGCTTTCGGATACCAAAGGAGACTCCAAAGACAGCGGGGACGATGATGAAGACGAGGAGGAGGGTGAAGAGGACGGTCAGGGAGATGCCCAGGAGGTTGACAATTAGGCTGTCAAAAGGCAGCAACAGGAACATGGTGCACGATGCAGGCAAGGCCAGCGCCCTCCTCCCCACGAACAAAGCCCAGCCTCAGATGGTCCCCGTGGACAGTGGCAGCCGGGGGAGGGACGCCAACTCCATTCCAAAGTTCACATCACTCAACCGCGACCCCGGAGCAGAGGGCTTGGGAGTGGAATGACAGCAAAAGAGGCCACCAAGGGCCCAAAACTGTCGGCTCGCCCCAGCAGAGAGGGGCCGTGGGCGGACAAGGCAAATCAACCTTCAGCACCAGCATCCAAGTCCGGGCTGGGCGTCTGGGCAAGTGAGAGGCGAGGGCGCGGTCTCTGCTCGGCGACCCTCACGCGGCTCCCAGAAGTTTTCCTTTCTTCCCTGCCCCAGAGCATTTAGCAGATAAATCTGTCCTGAAGATCTGTCACTGCCAGAACTACCAAGAAGAGTTCAGCTCGGTGCCAGAGAAGTCCTGGCAACCCCCGTGGAGGGGGGTGACCACTGGCACCGCACACAGAAGGCTCGTCAATGTCAACATGCAGAAATTAAATAACTGTTTTCCTTAAAACTCCTTCATAAGCTGAAAACTGTGTTCACTGTGGAGAGTGCACCTCTGGCCCCATCCTTCCTCTAGAGGGGCTCCTGGCACGTGCGGCTTCCAGGACCCTCCTGCCCGGGGGAGCTGCAGTCTCCGCCGGGAGGACACAGATGCTGGCCCCGAATGTCACATGCCGCCCGCGGTGACTGTAATTCCAGACACTTCTGGCACTGGTTTCCTCTGGATCCTCTTCTCCCTCGGGCCCCCTTCTCAGCGGTGACCTGGGCTCTGGGCAGAAGGCTCCTCACATGCTGCCAAAGCTGCAGGTGGAGACAAAAACACCATCAGCCACACAAACCCGGAGGAGAGGCGGCCACCCATGTTGGGGCGGGGGCGGGGGGCATGTCACTCTGCCCTCCTAGCTCGAAACGACCTTGAACTAATAAATTAAAATTCCTGCACGCCAGGCCCACTCTACAGAACTTGTGATCCGAGAAAAACCACAAGACAAATCTGGACTCATGTGTCAGAATTTGGTGTTCTCAGAATTGAAGGTACAAACGTGCTCTTTCATTTTTACCAACTGGCCAAACTGATAGCACCTGCCAGATTTCTAAGGCCATCCCAAAAGAGGTTCAGGAAATTAGATGTATTTCTGAGACTTAATCAGTTCAATTCCCTGGGTCACTGTATTCCTTAAACCTGTCCAACTCCAGCCTAATTTCAGGGTCACCCCTCTGTGCCCCTCTTCCATCCACATCCCCCTTGGCCAGCCCCCCTCGGGGAAAGAGGCAGCAAGACCCCTCTGTCCCACTGGACAGCTGCTGTCACACAGGCCAAGGTGACCCTGAGTCCCATGGACCCAAGGTGACGGACACGAGGGTCACTCTGACTTCCCATGCCAGAGTTTACAACTCCTTTCTTTGGGTCACAATCAACTGAGAATTCCCAAGGTTACTCTGGGTTCATGTCCCCAAAACATGAAAGTGAACACATTTAGCAATAAAGTGATTTCTTCACCTAGTTCAGAGGCTGGCACACCAGGCCTACAGGCCAAATCTGGGCCAGTTTTTATAAGGTTCGTGACCTAGGAATGGTTTCTACATCTTTAAAGAATTGTTCAAAAAAAAAAAAGAAAAAAAAAGAATAACACATGGCAGAGACCATGGCTTGCAAAGCCTACACTATTTACTATCTGACCCTTTACAGCCAGTCTGCTGAAACCTGACCCGGCTGCTCCCTCCTCCCTTGGAGGCAGGGAACGTCCCCTCAGTGTCCTCCGCCCCTGCGTCCCTGGCGCTCTTGGTTACGTGTGCCAGACTGCAGACACTGAACAGTAACTAGCCAAACGAGTTACGTGGCCAACAGTAAACAATCCTCCTGTGAATTCTTAGAAGTAGAGAAAAAGCCAGTAAACTGCAGTTATCACGGAGCCTCCAGGGACACCCAGAGGGACTGGTGACTTACGGCCCCTTAACAGACTCTGATCTCTGGAAATTTGGGGCAAACGCTCACATCAGGACTCAATCACACCAGAATTTCTATATAAATGCTCAGGAAGGGGAGGACACCCCTCTGCCTCAAGTAAATCTAACTGTGACTCCTTAAGCACAAGGCAGGGGAAGCCAACAGCTCAGGACAATAGTTACTCCTTCTTCTAATTTCCTCAACTTTCAGCCAAATTCACTGAGAGTCATTTGGACCAAAGTTCCCCCAAGAGCCCAAATGGTCCCGAGAAAAACGAAAGAACCAACTAGTTCTGAACCTTTCAGGAGGGAAGGTGGCTTCATCCTAGGAACGTGACAGCCCCCACGGAACTAACAAAACTTGCAACCCACTGAATGGCAGATCTGGGCCCCCCACAGCCCACTTCCCAGGGCTCCCCAGTTCCCAGGGGTGACTAGATCATTCAACGAATATTCACTGGGCACAAACTATGTGCCACACATCATGATAGGCACTAGGCATCAAGCGCCGACCAGACAGGCCCAGAGACAAGCACTGAACAAATAAACAGACACAAAGTCCTGATTTCACACTTTGATGGCTGTCAACAAGAGAGTCCTGGAAGGGAAAACGGCGGGAAGTGACAAATTTAAATCGGGCCATCTACACCAGTTCTGGCCCAATCACCAAGCAGGAACTCATGACGTCCAGTTACAGAATGAAACGCTTCGGCTCAGCCAGCTCTTTGTGACCCTGTGACACATCCTACAGGTCAGGAGACCATACCTACGACCAGAGCATGTCCAGAGGGATGCCACATACCAACTCCAGGAAAAGAAGATACGTCACTGCCTTAGAGGCCAGGCTTAGACTCCCCACGATAACACATTCTTGCAGCGCATTAAGCACCATCAGTCACGTATCAGATCTCAGTAAATGGTACGTATTATCACTTCATTCTGATCAGAAGAAACCCAGAGCAGTGTCCTCAGTTCTAAGGACCAAACTTTAAGAGGCCTAGACAGAGAGGAAGGCATCTCAAGTATGTCACAAAACCCACAACCAAAAGCTACTACGTGGTGCCTAGCAAGCACTCGGTGCTTCGTACAAAGGTTAGCTGTGAAGCGGAGAAATCTGAATTAAAACTAGAGTGAGATGGCAAAAACCACTTTTTTAAAGAAACCTCCCTATGGGTGAAAACACCCTCCGAGCCTGCGGGCTGGAGCGTACAATGGTACGACCTCTGTGCGGAACAGTTCAGCTGTAAATCCACACGCCCTCAGGGCCAGAAATCTTACTTCTAAAAACTGATCCTAAAGATAAACTGCGACAGTAGTTCTCAACCAGGGCTGATTTTTGTTTTTTAGCTCCTTGGGGAACACTGGGTAATGCATGCAGACGTTTTTGGTTGTCAAAACTTGGGGTGGGGGTGCTCCCGGCAGCCAGCGCGGAGGACAGGGAGGCCGCTAAACCTGCTAAGATGCACAGGCCACCTCCTCCCACAGAGAATTACCTGGCCCCACATGTCTACAGTGCAGAAGGTTGAGAAACCCTCACCCCACTGAAGCATAGTCAGAATGACGTCTGTGCACGGTTACTGACTGCAGCACCGTCTGTAATGTCAAAAGAAACACCCAAGTCCACTAACAGAGGCTGTCATGCAATACTAGTCATCTGTTAAAAAAAATTAAACGAGAGACACTGACACATCTACATACTTGCTGATAAGAAACAACCTCCTACTTTTTGGGAGAGACCGCTGCCCAAGGTGTGCGGTGCCTGCGATCACTTGGGTTCCAAATGACTTGGGGAGAGAAGAGGAGACTCATCTGACTTTGTAGTTAACACTTAGTTGGTAAAGTGAATAATACACTATTTTTGGAAGCTAAGCTTGGACAGTTTGAAAATCTTGGGCACAGTGTTTACCCCTGGAACTGTACCTTAAAAACCAGCAGAGTAACAGAATATTCTGTTGTCCTGGGGCCCACTGAAGTTTTTAAGAAATTCCAGGAGACACTTCAGTGCGGGCAGGTCTGTGAAGACAGCATAGCCTCTTGACCTGGGAGGCCCAGAGACTTGTTCCAGGTTTCCTGTAAGTTGGAAACTTGTCATAGTAACACTAACACATTGCTTGGCCTTTTTTTTTTTTAACCATTCTGAAGACAACTGGATTTTGTAACCATGAATGGAAAGCAGCTGCCTATGAGAACCTAGATGTCTTATTAAAGAGATTCATGTCAGTTTCTGATGTATTCATGAATTATAATAAAGATGATTATATATATTAAAAAAAAAAGAGAGAAACAATCTCCCAGTCAGATGCAGAACAGTGTCCACAGTAAACACCAGCTCTGAGGGAGGGAGGAAAAGGACAAATATCCGGTTTCTATGTGTACTTTCACTGATCCCTATTTCTGGAAAGGTACACAGGAGACTGGCTACAAGGAGCTGCCTCGAGGAACAGAAGGGAGGGGTCACTTTATCTTTTCGGTACTTTTAAAACTGTATTTATCATTCTGAATAGGAAATGGTCTCGTGAGTCAAAAATCAAAAGAAACATATCAAGGTTTGAATCCTGACTTTACCACTTAACTAGCAGTGTGAGTGTGACTTTGGGTAAATTACTTAATCTCTTTAAGCTTCTGTTCAAAAACACGTACTAAAAAGACTGTTTAAATGATGAGATAATCGATGTAAGGCACTTTTCACAGTGCTTACAACAAAGTTAATGTGCAAAATGCACTATTATTATTACTACTCTAAGTTCCTGTTATTGTGAAGGAGAAGAGGCACTTGAAGGCATTTGCCAATAAGTTATGACACTACACTGGTAAGAAATCTGTTTTCAACACCACTCCTGTCCCCACCCTGTTTACAAGCCTTACCCAGGATGGCTGGTGCAAACCTGGACTTCGTCAGTCAGTCACTGAGAATTCTAATCCAAGCTCTTTAAATGGTTCAAATTATTGAGCCCTGGAAGAGTTAAATGACTGAGACAAGTCACCAAATTGGCCAGTAACAGAGGCAGAACTAGAACTCAGATCTGATCCGCAGTCTAGTGGCCGTTCTGCTAGCCAGACCGGCCTCTCATTTGCTCTGGGGTGGGTTACCCTTCGGAGGACAGCCATTCATTTCCCCTAGTCTCCTCTGCCAGGTCATAGACCCCTCAAATGCCCCCATTCTGATGTGATGCTAAATAAACACACCTCACGAAGGCGATGTGTGCTGGGGTGACTTTAAGGTCCAGTGTACGGAGCAGAGGAGTATCAGAAATCGGCTTGCGAAGGACACTACTGCTTAGGAGGAAAGCGTATGTTTCCAGGGAGATGGGGCAGCCCAGAGCTGCCTGGGGAAGTGAACCTGACTGCTGAAAATCCAGGGGCACACTTGGAGCTGACAGCAATCCTGGATAAAACAAATGGCCCAGGACAAAGCCAGGCCACCACAGGCCACAGGATAACGCAACCCACTAGGTTCTTAAGACGACAGGAGTATGGTCAGTTTCAGGGTCTGGGTCTTAACTACAGTCATTCTGCCCTCAAGTCCTTTCTCCTTGCCTAGAAAGGCCTAATGTGAGTTGGACTTGGGTAATAAGGAACGTAGCACCAAATTCAACCTAAAGCAACATAATTTGCAAAGCTGGAAAAGAAAAAAAAAAGAAAGAAAGAAAAAGGGACTAAGATAAAGGATTGATGCTCCAGGGCCATCCGTCTGAGAAAGGACAGTTTGATTTGCTGGGGCTGTAAGCCCCAAGATGGTTCATTACCCAACCTGAACCCTGCTCTGCGCTCAATTTCAAAATCAGTGCTTTTACATTTGAGTGTTGTATGTGCAACCGGAAGCAACTTTCTGGTCTTCTTTTTTCAGAAACGTG